CAAAAGATCTCTTTGAAGTGTTTAAGAGCAAAGATGTCAGTTTGATGACTAAGGTGCACCTGACCCAAACCCCAAGGTATTTTCAATACTCTCATATGCTTGTTAAAGTTAGACAATGAAAAAGGAAGATTGTAGAAGAATTGATGCATTTGAGTTATAACATTGGAGAAGAATATTAAAAGTACCATGGACTGCCAAAAGAACAAACAAATCTGTGTTGGAAGATGTACAGACAGACTAGTCCTTGGAATTCAGGATGGGGAGACTTTGTCTCTCATACTTTGGACATATTATCAGGATGGACTAGTCCCTGGAGAAGGATTTTATGCTTGATAAAGTGAAGGGTCAGAAAAAAGAAGATCCCAAACAAGATATATTGGTACAGTGGCAGCAGCAATGGACTCAAGCATAACAATGATTTTGAGGATGGCACAGGACTAAGCAATGTTTTGTTCTGTTGTGCATAAATAAGGTCGCTGTGAGTTGGAACTTACACAATGGCACTTGACAACAACAAATTCATCCATACATAGTATACAATTCAATGTTTTTGTTTTATTTCCATATAGTTAGTTGTACAACCTAATTTTAGAACATTTTTATATTCCCAAAAAGAAGCTCTAAACTCCCTTCCTCTTGTGTCCCCCCCCCCCATGCCATGACCCCCTCCTTGCCCTCCCCACCAGTTCCACTCCTGTGGCCTTGGCTGTCACTGACCTACATTCTGCTCCTATAGACTTATCTATTCTAGAAATTTCATGTGAATAACCAAACTAAGTAAGCTGTTTTAATAAAGGGACGGTAAGCAATGATGTTATGATGATTGTTGTCTGTTAAAAAGATGCTTATAAACCTCAAGAAGATCAGATAAATGGATAGCAGTCCAGAGACATTTACTTGTCTTTTCTGTCCTGATCTCACTTACCAACAAATTGCTTGTTGTATGATCTGAGTTATTATAGTAATGAAGGTGAAAGGAAACGGTGTGGTGTTGAGGTGGCAATAATCTACAGGAATTTATGTCAAAAATGCCAAATACTCATCAAGAATAAAATGCCTGAATAAACTGTAGTATTCTTATGTAATGGAATGCTACACAGCATCAAGAGTAACAAATTACAACTATATGACACAGCAAAGATAGATCACACACACACAGAGTCAATACTGTAGGATGCAATTTATATGAATTCTAAAGTGGTGGTGGTTGTTGGTGGTTATGTGCCATTGAGTCGGTTCTAACTCATAGCAACCGTGCATAGAGTTTCCGAGGCTGTAAATCTTTATGGGAGCAGAAAGCCTCATCTTTATCCAGCGGAATAGCTGGTAGTTTCAAACTGCTGACCTTGAGGCTAGCAGCCTGACTTGTAACCACCACACTACTAGAGCTCCTTAAAGTTCTAAAGTAGACAAAACTAATTTATGTTTTGGATCATAGTCAGCACAGTGGTTATGGAAGGAAGCATTCGGGCACTTTATGATGTACAAGCAATCTGTTTCTTGATCTAGGTGCTGGTTATAAGAGTGTGTTTAGTTTTTGGAAATCAATAAAGTTAAATATTTATAATTAGGCTCTCTCTTCGTTTTTGTAATTCAAAACATATGTATTATCAGCCCAGTTTTCCGTCCCACCCAATAGCCCCATTTTTTGGCCAAGAAACTTTGTAGTACTCTTCCACTCTGCCTTTGGATCCATCATGTGATTTTGGTTAGGCAAGAAAAGAAGGCTGTTAGTGCTAGTTCTTGGACAGAGTCTCTAAAGGCTTTGTGTGTTGCTGCTTTTACTCTTGTGCTTCTGTTACTGCTATTAGGTATGCTGGGCTAGTTTGTTCATCTGAACATAAGAACCATGTAGATTTAGCTAGGGTTCCTGAAGGGTAGCTACTTATTGATTATGGTCCTTGTAGCCATATTCCTTTATTCTGGGATGGATTGTAAATTCTAGCCTCTTTGTCTGTGACTATGGGTCCATTTTAAAGTGAGTTATTAATGAGGCAGGATGAAGCTGCTCCTTGGAAACCCTACACAGGGTCACTATGAGTCAGTACTGACTCGATGGCACCTAACAACAAACAGCAACAACAATGTTACCAGAGTAGAGAGCTCTTAAACCTAATCCCTTCTGTGGTGGTTGGTGGTTATATGCCGTGGAGTCGGTTATGACTCATAATGGCCCTGAGTAGGGTTTCCAAGGCCGAAATCTTCATGGAAGGCAGAAAGCCTCATCTTTTTTCCCCCCCACGAAACAGTAGTTTGAACTGCTGACCTTGAGGTTAGCAGCCCAACTGATGACCACTATGTTACCAGAGTTCCTAATCGCTTCTGAGTGGTGTCTTATAAAAAGAGTCACAGATATCCACTGGGGAAAACAGGTGCCATATGAAGATACATGACAAACAGTGAAGGAATGTCTAGAAATGCCCAGGGCTATCAAAACAGAAAGAGACAAGGATCTTCCCCTCGGAGAGATAACCTAGCATGACTTAGCCCTGAACTCTGGTAAGAAAACAAATTGCTGTTCTATTTTTAAAAGCCTCTCTCATTAGGGTGTTTTCATTCCTGCAGCAGTGGGAAACCAAAGCAAGGACCCAAAGTGGGCACATTTAGGAGGAAGGAGATGAGGGACAGGAGAAATTTCACTAAAAATAAAGTTATTCCCTTAGCTGGGTTTGAAGTATCCCACTGCTCTGATTTTTCTCTTGATGTTGGATAGTGTCCTGTGACCTATAGTTTCTTAAGAGTCTATAAGCATACTTCTCAAGGGACTTCTGACTGTTGAGCCAGTAGTTAATAACCAGGAACACAGAATGGTTTGGGTATGAGTGGAGTAGAGGTGAAGAAAACTGGGTTTCATTTTAGGTAGGGCTGAATTTGAGGTTTCAGAAGGGCATCCAAGAGGACATGTGCAGCAGGGAGAAAAATGCAGTTCTGAAGCTCAGATCTTTGCTGGAGATCCAAATTTGAGCATCCTCTATAAACAACTGGTAACTGAAGACGTTGGGACTGGATTTCCAAGTCCCTCAAAAACTCACTGCCTTCAAGTTGATTGACTCATAGTGCCTCTGTATGACAGAGTAGAACGGACTCATAGGATTTCCTAGGCTGTAAATCTTTATGGAAGTAAACTGCCACATCTTTCTGCCTGAGCGTATCTGGTGGATTTAAACCACTGCACCACCCATGCACTTTATTGCAAGGTAAGGTCAGTGCATCATGAAGCAACTCTGACACCTTGTGATTCTGTTGAAAAAATACATCAATCTGTATGGGTGATTACTATGTGGTGATTAATTAAAAACCAAAACATGACTATTTAATTTTTAAAACAGGGAGATGCTAGAGATGATAAATACCTCTTGATCAGCAAACAAAGAGTATCCGGTATCACTAAAGCATCACAATATATACTATATGTGTTTCAGAAGTCCAGAAATGTCTCTAAACTGGAGTGGATGGTGGAGTCAGACGTTCATTAAACAGTCTTAAGACATGGCAAGAGTGGATGAGAACATACTGGGTGGGATTCTTGAGAGGCAGTGACTTGGAATTAATGGGAAAGCATGATGAAAGTACCAAAAGAAAGGAGAGGAGAGAGATCTGTGAGCCTGAGAAGAAAATTAAGAGGAATTAAGTTATAACAGATGGTAGGGCAATAAGAGAATGTGCAATAGTGAAGGAAACTGCAGATGGGTAGGAGAGGTCAACCTAGAAGGAAGAAGTCAAGTCAAAGAAAGAAGGTGCATGAGACCTAGGATAGCGACCGGCTGCAAGGGGTTCCAGATGATGAATCAGATAGGAAAAGATATCGGTAAGAATGGAAATGGAAGGTAGGAAGGAAGAAAAAGAACTTCATCTTTTTCAAGAGCTGGTGAGAAGTTCAGAGAACAAGATGTCTCCAGCTGAACCGTGGTTATGATGTGGACTCATCCACTTGAGGAAGGGGCTTTCCCATGGAAGAACCTTAGGTTTTAGCTTCAGTCTGGGGAAGTTCCGGGATTCCCAGGAGTAGAAGAGTTTAGAACAACCGAAAGGATTACTGCAGGTGGACTCAATCGGTGTGCTTCTGCCACCACGCAGCCCACAAGTTTATTGACCCAGGTCGGAGGCTAAGAGAAACCGTGAAGGGGAATTATAGCCCGGGGAGAGGCTAGGGGGTGTGGTAGGCAAAACTAGTTCTGATACTAAGAATAGCGAAGGAATTCAGCGATCCACTTCAAAGGGGTTGGAGGACTCTGGATGCGCACAGATGGTGGAAAGAAAGATTCAGAGTTGGTGGGAGAGCTGGCAGGGAGCAGTGTCTGATTGTCTGATTACCCAATAAACACGGTAATAATGGATTTCTTTATACTAAAATATTAATCTGTAATGGACAATTTCACGTTTTTGACCACATCAAAGATTCTACTCCGAGATAAGGCAGGCACTTACCCCTCTCCCAAACTCACAGCACCTTCCTACAGAATCAAATCCTCTTTTTATATTTAGAATCCCTGACAGGGGCGGAGTCCCCAACCAGCAAGGCTTAAACGGGTTTACTTACTAATCTGTAGTAAACAGTTTCACATGACACCCATGTTAATTAACCACGTTTACCTCTCTAATTGGTAATGCGCCCTTGGCAGGGAGTGGTGAGGCAAGTAGAGAATGGGAGGATTTTCTGCCCATATTTTTTAGTTCCATAAATTTCACCACCAAAGGCTGATGGGCAACGAACAAGTCATGGGGTGCATCCTAAAGGGGAGAATTGTTGGAAGGCGGGACACAAGGTGGCAGGGGTATGGGCCAGTTGAAAACACTCGGGCCCAGGGCTCGCTTTGTGTACTTGGCAGTCTTCATCTACCTTTACGTCCTGGCCACGCCGAGGTGGGAGGCTGGATGGAAGGGCGGGAGCCAACGCCGAAGGGGCGGACACGGGGTGGTGTCTTGCGTTCTATAAAGGGGCCATAGGGGCCATGATTTCTTTAGCGCAGGGGGCGGCCACCGGCGGGAAGCGCAGCGCGATGTCTGTTGAGTGCCATCAGAGCTTGGTGCTGGCAGGCAGTGCCTATTTGGCCGCCCTGGGGGCACTGGTCCTGTACTTCAGGAAGCCAGCGGGTTATGGGAAGCATTTGGAGAATCGGATGCCGGTGGGTATCTGCCTGCCAGCCCGCGCTGCCTGGTTCCTGCAGGAGCTGCCCTCCTTCGTGGTGCCCGCGGGAATCCTCGCCCTGCAGTCCTACTCTCTCTTCCGCACTCCTGAGCTTGTGCTCCTGGGCCTCTTCTGCGCACATTACTTCCACAGGTAGAGCCTTCCTCTGTGGGCGCTGAGAGAGCGGCACCGCTGGCTCCAGATACTGACGACCAGGAGTGCGGCGCGCACTCGGGGAGTGTGGAGGGTGCAGCGTCCGCGACTGCGAAGAACGAGCTGTTGGGGATAACTGTGAGCATCTGGCGGGAGCCGGGGTGGCTGCCGGACGCTGGCAAGTCGGGTAGCAGTCACGGGCGGATGCCACCTTCACTCTTATCGACCCGCGCGCCTCTCAGGCATGCTCCAAATCTTGTGCTTCCTGGAGAAGAAGGCAAGCGGGAGCCGGAGGCGAGCTGTAAAATGTAAAACTCAGGTTACCTAGGGCTATTGGCCAGGATTATCTCCTCTCCAGCTCTGCGTGATCACCTGTGTAGTGTTTCGCTTCTCGGTTTTCTTTTTCTTCCTTCGCCTTTCCTTGAAGGGTGGATGAGAACGAGCTGATTTCGGGATCTTGGGAGAGTCTGAGTGTTGTCAACTCCTGTAGGAAACGCGGCTCAGATAGAGGGACTGATCAATTTAGTTCTTGGGGACCTAAGGAGGGAGTTGGCAGAGCCCAGGTCACGATTTCAATTGAGGTAAAAGAATGTGATATGAGTCCTCCTTTCTTCCCAACCAAAAGCTTCCTTTCTCAGAGCTCATTCAAACGCACCTGGAGACCAGTAATTCACCTACCTTTCCAGTTTCCCAGGATTTGAATTGTGAGAGAATCAGTTAACTTAGCACTCAGTTTTTAATTCCACATTGTTGTTAAGTGCCATCAAGTCGGTTCGGACCCATAGCGTACAGGGTTTCAGAGGCTATAAATCTTTACAGGAGCGGAAAGCCTCATCTTTCTCCAGCGGAACAGCTGTTAGTTTCGAACTGCTGACCTTGCGGTTCGCAGCCCGATTCGTAATCACTACGCTACCAGAGCTCCTTGCGACCCTATATAGTGTTTCCAAAACTGGTTTGAACCACAAGGTCAGCATTTCAAGCTTATCAGCTGCTCCTCGGAAACCCTATACAGGGCTGCTATGGGTCGGAACCGACTCGACGGCACTTAACAACAACAACAACAAGGAGTGGCTGGTGAGCTCGAACCGCTGACATTGCAGTTCACACTGACTTTGCAGCCTAGCCCATTAACCCAGAGCACCACACCAGGACTCCAGTTCCACAGTAAAACTCTCAAATTCAGAATTGTGCTTTTTTGGTCTGGGAAACGCAGACAAGAAGGGAAGCATTCCCAGACCAGAAGGCAAGCAAGGGATATCAGGATTTGGAGAATGACTGCAAAAATCCCGGTGAAGATTCACAGGGAGAAAGAGAATGTGAAAACAGTTTATTAATTACCTATCATACTCAATCATTTGCATATATTGCCTCATTTTAGTTGCTACTTTAACCTTGTTAGATATGTATATATCATCTGCACTTTACAGGTAAAGAAACTGAGGTTGAGTAAGGCTATTTGACTGAATGAAGAGGATACAGCTAGTCAGTGCCTTGCAAGACTCAAATGCAAAGCTGTGAAACACTGGGGGTGAAGTCCTTTTCACTATATTAAGTAGGCAGATTCTCCATACAGGGAGAGAATAGTTTCATTTCAGAAGAGGGAGGGTATCCGAGACACAAATTTCAATGTGTCCTTCCCTAATCAAGGAACCCTGCTAGTGCAGCAGCTCTGCAGAGGAGAGATGAGGCAGTCTATTTCCCTCAAGATCTACAGCCTTGGAAAAGCTGTGGGGCAGTTTTACTCTGTGAGTCCAACTCCAGACAGTGGTTTCCAGAATCTCTTTTTTAAATCATCTAGATCACCTGTACTGGTCAAGATTTAATTAATATTCATTTGTAACTGAATTCTCATTCTTTGTAAAAGGCAAATATTGGCAAACAATAGGAACTAAAATTTCAGAAGTGGGTGTCTTTTCAACAGATATTTGTTAAAAAAAAAAAAAAAAGCAAAACTATTTTGGACAGATAACTTGTAGGGCTAATTATCAGCCAGATTTAGAGGGTGCGAGGAGTGACTGGTTGGTTTAAACCATGGACTGCTTTAAACCATGCACTGGTTAGACATTAGTGCTTCCCTCACCAATCAATTTTTCTGTCAAATGCCTGTTTCAACAACAGTGAAATAAAAAGCTGGTCTCCTCCACTACTCGTTCTTAATAAGAAGTCCATAGGTAAGCAGTTCATGGTTTAAACTAACCAGCCACTCCTTGGAACTTAATCACAACAAACCACATTAAACAGTAATTTTTATTTTCAAATGAACTACCTATCTGTTAGTATTTGCTGTCATTGTTTATTACCCTGTATTCAGTTTTGACTCATAGTAACCCTCTATATCATATTTTTATGAGGTCATTTTATCTTAAAGTAATGATTTGTGTTTTTTGACAATCTTATTACTACAACTTAAATTCATATTTTACAACCAAAGGCACTTTGCACAAAAACTTATGACAAGTACATTCAGAAATTACCTAAAAAATGAATTCCTACATACTGTCCATCTTCAGGATATTGGGATTGATTCTACCTGAGGGAAATTTGCCCACTGAAAGCACAATTCTGATTGACTTTTTTCTGAGGCATCAGGATATGATGTTTGCCTACCTCTCTCCTTGTTTACTTTCTTACTTTGAGGTCACTGGAATAGTGGATATGATAACATTACCAGATATTTACTAGGTATTAGGCACTGCACTGAATTAGCCACTAATTCTCATACCAACCCATTTCAATAGGTATTTTACAGATGGGGATAATGGAGCAAGGAAAGATGAAATAACTTGCCCAAGTTTAGACAGTTCTTACACTGAGGAGTCATCCAGAGCTCCGGTTCTTGGCTATGATGATTTACTCCATTACACTTAATTCTTACTATCTCTTCCTTGCCTTTTTTCTTCTCTTTCTTCTTCAGATGTCAAGATTTATTGGGAGGAAAAGATTTGGCCAGAGGAGACAAGGAGGACCCTTAAGCAACACTAACCCTTGTCTCTCCAAACAGAGGCTTTGCTGGAGTTTGAAAGGTTTTAGATGGGAAAAGCCATCATATTTATTTATCAGAATAGGTGGGGCTCTCTGAGAAGTGGCCCATTTAGGAGGGACCATGCTGATTTGGTTCATGTGCAGCATTTCTTCTTGATGGATTAATTGCAAAGATCTCTGGTAGGGGCAGACAAAACTTACTATGGGATGTTGAGCATGCATGGTTCTTTGGGACCCTGGTTCAAACCCTTCCCAGGGATTGGTGTTTTCCTTTGCTCCAGCCGAAGGCAGCACTGTAAAGTTAGGCTTGGGGTACTGGGTACACCAGTCTGGCCTGTAAAGCATCTTACAAGGAAGTAAAGTATAGAATTATTATGGGTGGTTTTTCTTACTGGCATGGTCCAGGATGTGGCTGCTCAGCTGTCTGTTGTGAGCACATCCTACACATCTTCACAATTGTTCAAGCAAGCAGGCCTCAACATTCCCAAGATTTTAGTCACAGATTTCAGCCCGTAAGTGATTCATGTTCAACCCTGATTTCTGGATCTCTTTCTCTCTCTGCCTCACTTCCTCTCCCTGCCTCACTTCCCTCTTGAGAAGTTTCATGCTCATACTTCTTTATGGAAGCATGCATATGGAACCCTACCTGACAGAGTAGAAATCTCTCACTGACTGCTCTAATGCTTTGTACACTACTAGGGCCTGGATAGACTGGAAACCCTGCATGACTGTAAGTTTAGTTTGAAATTGCTGCAGTTTTGAGGACCTGTGCTTAACTAGTATATTGAGTATGCATTGGTCAAAGATTAATGGCAATAAAACAGCCACTAAAGGTCTCAAAATGGCAGCAATTATGTAATAGATAGTTGATTCGGTTCTGTATACTCTGGCTTATCTGGGACTGGCTCACCACTTTTGTTGTAGGATGTGTAGGGCTGTAGTCTTTACTTTACTTGAAGTGGAGGGCATACACTGTACTCTAGTCTGCCAACAAATAATCTAATATTAATCTGTGGTCCACAATCATGTTGACTAGGGAATAAGATGAGAAGGGACTTGGTCCTCTTAAAGCTGTGTGCTAGTCGGAACCTATACCCAGCAGGGACAAAATAATTGCTTTCTAATAGGGGGAATGGGTTTGGAATAGCAGAGGAAGAGACTGCCAAGAATTGTCCCTTCCATGATCAGCCCTAAAATAAGCATTTTTCTTAAATCAGAAACCTGGGTCTTACTAAGGCTCACTGGTGTGTCGATGCTAAGATTTTGGTGTTCTCTTGCTCCCTGGGAAAGACAATAATTTATTTTGAATTCAGGAGTCTTCCTTTTAGCTAGTATATGTGGAGCAGCTGTAACCGGTTACTCTCATCTCTATGTAGTGAACAGGTTTCAGCAGGGTGAAATGTACAGAGTGTACATTTTGCTGTACAGTTGCCTCAAACTTAGCTATTAAGTCTCTTCCCAGTAAGGGGATTGAACATTCAGGAACATTTATCTTCTTTGCCCTTTAAAAACCATATCTAGATTTCAAAATTTTTTTTTTGTTATAAACATAATTCATGCTTCTAAATAAATAATAAAATACAAAAGTAGAAAAACATTAATTTCAATACATAAGTATATTAACAATGTCTTGGAAGATTTCAGCAAGTCTTAATTTTCTTAGTAGATTTTTTATGCATGTTTATTATATTGAATCTATAGTTTTTATTCTGCTTGTTGTTAGCTACTCTGTTCATGGTAACTCCATGCAGAACAGAACAAAACTACTTCCTGGTTCTGCATCATCTCATGAGCAGTTCAGATTGGACCATTGTGATCTATAGAGTTTTCATTAGCTGACTTTTCAGAAATAGATTTTCCAGGCCTTTCTTACTAGACTATTTTAGTGTGAAAGCTCTCCTGAAATGTGTTCAGCATCTTAGCAACACAAAGTACACAAATGTGACTGAGTATGAGGAGCATTTTTTGGGAATCCAACCCTGTTATCCTACATGGAATTATATAACACTGTTGTTAAG